TGTCCCGAGGTTATATGTATATATAATTATAGTTGACATACAGTGTTATTCAACATCAGTTTCAGAAATACAATGCGTTGGTAAGGCCTCCACATCAACTATGAAGTGGACTCCCCAAAAAGGCATTGGTCCATCTGGCTCCCTAAGAAATGCTTACAACGTTATTGATTGTATTCCTTGGACTATCTTTTTCTATCCCTGAGGCCATATTACACTTTAATGTTAATTTACAATGTTCATGTCTTCCTAACCTTAATATGGTGCATGGCAGAACGGGTACACAATAAGTGTCTGCTGAACAAATGAGTCAATACCAGGATATTTAAAAGGAAATGCTAGCTCCATCTTTTAGCCAGCACTGCTCTTTTATCAGCCTTGAATTAATTATGAGACAGAGTGTGTAGGGTCCAAGGAGTCAGAGCAGTGAGAGGCTCATAAATGAGACAGAAGGAAATAATGATTATTAAATCAACCAATATTTAGTGATGCTTATCATATGCTGTTTCTTGAATTATATGATTCCATTGGGGGATTTTTACAGCATTACTAACTTCCCAAGGAAGTTCCTCAATCTCAATGACAAGATGATCTCTTTATTATTACTATTAGTATGTACATTATTATACATACTATATTCAAGAATTGTATATTACATTATAATATATGCAGCAAACAAGTTACTCATAGGAACAACATTTACTAAATTCTTCTTGTATTCTAGATACCTTGGCAGGAACTTACATACATAGAAAATAGTAGCAAAGAATACAGGCTTGGAGTCTGACATACTTGATTTCAATCTGGATTCCATGAATTCTTTTCTGTGTGACTCTGGGCAAATGCCTTAACCTCTAGGGGCTTTAGCTCACTCATCTCTAAAATAGGGATAATACTGCCTATATCTCAGAAGGTTGTAATGAGGACAAAATGCATGTAAAAGCACTTAGCATACTACCTGGTACAGCAGCAAAATTGATTACCATTTGTAACTGAGCCACGTAAAGGTACAATCCTTCCTTTACTATTTGGTGAAACCCTCATACATATATTAAATTCTCACTTACAAGGATCTATTCCTACTCTATTTATTCTATGTTTATTTCTCATGCCAGTGACATACTGACTTAAATTTTAAATATGTTTTAATATTTGGTAGTCTCCCCTTTTACTCTTCTTTTAATTTTTTAAATATTTTTATTAAAATATAGCTAACATACAATATTATGTTAGTTTCAGGTGTATATCATAGTTATTCAACAGTACCCACCTGGCATTATCCATAGTTATTATCGTATTATTGATTATACTTCCTATGCTAAATAAGTGATCACCATGATAACTCCAGCAAACATCTGACACTGTACCATGCTATCACAATATTATTGATATTTCTATGCTATATATTACATACTTATATATTTTATGTCTAAAACTTTGAACCTCTTATTCATCTTTATCTTCCACCCCCTTTTTAATTTATCAATTAGAGTTGACATTCAGTATTATTTTATATTAGTTTCAGGTGTACAGCATAGTGGTTAGACATTTATATAATTTACAAAGTGATCCCCTTGACTAGTATTCACCTGGCACGATACAGTTTTTATAATACCATATTATTGATTATATTTCCTAGACTTTACATCCTCATGACTATTTTGTAACTACCAATTTGTATTTCTTAATCCCGTCACCATTTTTACTCTGCCCCCAACTCCCTTCCCATCTATCAGCCCAGTAGATCTAGTACCCATTTGAAACCATACACAGTTATTACATTATTGACTATATTCCTTATGCTATACCTTACATCCTCATGACTACTGCGTAACTAATTTGTACTTTTTAATCCCTTCCCCTTTTCACCTATGCCCAACTCCCTCCACTCTGGCGTCCATCAAAATGTTCTCTGAATCTATGATTAATAGTTCGTTTCTGTTTCATTTACTTATTCTGTTCTTTAGATTCCACTTATAAGTGAAATCATATGACATTTGTCTTTTGCTGTCTCGCTTACTACGCCCAGCACAATACCCTCTAGGTCCACCCATGCTGTCACAGATGGCAACATTTCATTCCTTTTTACAGCTGAGTAATATTCCATTGTATCTATATACCACCTCTTCTTTATCCATTCATACATTCATGGACACCCAGGTTGCCTTTATATCTTGGCTTATATAAATATTGCTGCAATAAACATATGGATGAGCATGTCCCTTCAAAGTAGCATTTTGGGTTTGTTCAGATAAAAACCCAGAAGTGGGAGTGCTAGGTCCTTCTTTGTCTCTTGCTATAGTCTTTGTTTTAAAGTCTGTTTTGACTGGTATAAGTATTGTTACCCCAGCTTATTTGTTTGTTTCCATTTTCAT